CCACCACCACCACATATTGCCAGCGCCACCGCCAAAGTCACAGCTCAACATCCGGTCACCGCCAGTACCATCCACGCTAGCATCAGTATCAGCACATAACTCCACTACTATTCCACTGCCACTCGCACGGGCCTACTTCACTATCAACTGCTGAATTCGCCGCGCCATCGCAACACCCACTTCCATTCCTGAGCTCTCACCGCTACCCGCCCCGCACCACACTGCCATCTTATCGTAATCGGCCATCCCCTCAACGGCCGCCGCCCCCCCCCACCCCATCCTCATCCTGCCGGCCGTCCAGTCCCCATCGCTCCGTTGCCGCTCCGCCGGCATCCACTCCCGCCCGCCATCGTCACCTGCACCACGCCCATACCACACCAACGCCTCTGCGTCGATTCGCCTCCCCCTTACCTGTCATCACCACCCCACCACACTCCCTGGACCCCATCCCGGCTCTATATTAAGCGGAAGAGGTCGTTTTGATTCTTAAATAGCGCTAAACAGCCGGCGCCGACGGGCCGCCGGCGATGCGGCCAGGCGCCTTCCGCATTCATTGTTGATTTGATGGAAGATGTGGAGGGCACGGGCAAGCTTCCATGTTATTGGTCCCGAAGTGAATATCTACAAGTTGGATAATCGTTCTTATCTTTTGCACTCTTGCGTGTAAATTAAAAATTAGTGGACATTTTCGTTTTTGTGGTCGAACATATTATTCTGATTCGTAACATGCTGGACACCACGGAGAAACTAAATTTCGCATAAAATATTTTTTTGTTTATTCTCCTTAAGTGTAAGATTATTAACCGATAATCTAGTAAACTTTCACACTGCACTGAAACACATAGAACGGTTGGTCTGTTTGCATTATGATAAATATAAGAAGCTCATGACAAATATTCGCATTTTGATAATATTTTCGAAATCTTCTTATGTTTATCGAGAAGAGTAAGCAAGTTTTTAAAAATAAAATGGCGCTTAGCTATTTATCAGATCTATCTCTTGCATTTAAATATTTTCAACTGTTTTAGCAATAGAACTTGAATTTGGAAGACGGAACTTATAAGATTCCAGTCTATAAGACATTTTCCGTCCTATACAAGTATTCTTTGTTCCCAATTTTATTTCAGTCATCATCTATCCAATACAACTAAATTTTTAGTAAAATCTGTTCACAAATTTACGACTTATTTTATCAGTCTTAATAATAATAGAATAATAATAATAATAATAATAATATCAACTAATATAATAATAATATAATAATACATAAAATTTGTCACACACATGCTATATCAGAACGTCGAGACGGTCAGAACCAAACGCACAATTGCAAATGAACATTTGCATAAGTGTGTTATCGCCCAAATACCTGATTTCATTTGAGCAACGATAGTCGGAATAACGAACAACGCAATATTGTTCTTGCGGTTTGCCTTATAACTGCGAATTATACACTGCCCTGCCTTGAATGATCTTCTTGATCAACTACGGCAGTTTTTTCGTAGCTGGGGCACCAACACAAGAGCTCGCCACAGATTTTGCATTCTGTTACTTCAGCCGTATAAAAAAGGCTAAAGATTATCTGACCGTGTTGCAAACCGTTCCTCGCCCAATCTCAAAACTCGCCGTCGCGGCAAAAGGCCTCCCCATCCGCAGCCACCTTAGCATCGGAGCAAGCGTGCGGGCCGTTTTTGTGCTTAGCAGCCGCTAACAGGCGCTGCGGCTGGCTGGGCGATGGGACGCAGCTCACCACCTGGAAGGGCGGCCGCAGCCGCCAACTGCGGCGGCCGAAACCGAGCCAGGCGGCGCGCGGATGGAGCCGTGGAGGTGGCGAAGGAGGTGCGGAAAAGACGGAGCGGAGACGAGGCGGAGACGGAGTCACGAGATGTAGCGAGACGGAGGCGGAGATCGGAGGCGAGACGAGGCGGAGACGGAGGCGGAGGCGGACAGGCGGAGGCGGAGACGAGGGCGACGCGGAGGACGGAGCGGAACGGAGCGAACGAGCGAGACGCGGAGCGGAGGCGAGACGAGACAGCGCGAGGCGGCAGCGGAGGTGGAGGCGGAGACGTTGACGAGCGGAGACGGAGCCGAGACGGAGGTGGAATGGAGGCGGAGACGGAGGCGGAGACGGAGCGGAGACGGAGGCGGAGACGGAGGCGGAAGCACGGACGGAGACGGAGCGGATGACGGAGCGAGACGGAGCGAGAGAGCGGAGCACGGCCAGCCGGAACCGAGCGGAACCGGAGCGGAGACGACGAGACGGAGGCCGCGGAGACGAGGCGGAGACGGAGGCGAGCCACCGGAACGGAGACGGAGCGGTAGACGGAGCGAGCGGAGACGGAGGGGGGACGAGGCGGAGACGGAGGCGGAACGGCAGGCGGGAGACGGAGCGAGACGAGGACCGGAGACGAGGCGGAGACGGAACAGCAGCGAACGGAGGCGGAGACGGAGGCGAGACGGAGACGGAGACGGAGGCGGCGAGACGGAGGCGGAGACGGAGCGGAGACGGCCAGGCGGAGACGGAAGGCGGAGGCGGAGACGGAGGCGGTGACCGGACCGAGAGCGGAGGCGGAGACGGAGCGGAAGACGCGAGCGGAGACGAGCGGAGACGAGGGCGAGACGGAGACCGGAGCCCGGAGAACGATCCGGAGACGGCAGCGGAGACGGAGGCGGAGACGGAGGCGGAGACGGAGGCGGAGACGGAGGCGGAGACGGAGGCGAACGGAGGCCGGAGACAGAGGCGAGACGGAGGCGGAGACGAAGCGGAGACGGACGGAACGAGCGGAGACGAGGCGGAACGGAGCGGAGACGGAGCGGAACGAGCGGAGACGCGAGGCGGAGACGGTAGGCCGAGACGGAAGCGAGACGGAGCGGAGACGGACGGAACGGAGCGCAGACGGAGGCGGAAGACGGAGGCGGAGACGAGCGGAGACGGAGCGGAGCGGAGCGGAGACGGAGCGGAGACGGAGGAACGAGCGGACGGAGACGGAGGCGAGACGGAGACGGAGCGGAGACGGAACGGAGCGGAGGCGGAGATGGAGACGGAGAGGGACGGAGGCGGAGGACGGGAGCGGAACGGAGGCTGCGCGCGGGCAGGAGAGCGCGCTATTTAAAACGGCAGGCCGCGATCCGTGGTGGCGGAGGCATCTGTTGGAGGCGAGCGGCGCGAGGAAGCGGGGAAGCCGCGGCGCGAAGCGCGTGCATAGAGCGGCGGAGGCGGTCAGCAGTTTGTCAGCGCCGCGATTTGCATGGCGCAGAAGCAAATTTCCTGGCGGCCCACGCGCCACGTCTCTATTAGCATGATGCAGAGATTAGGTGCTATTCTAAAGTCAGCCACACGTTACATGTCACACTAGACAAACGTTTGTGATATGTGAAGTTTCCTTAAGTGTGAGTGGATGAGCAGTTATCGAATTTCTTCCAACGTTTGCGTGCATGTGTTTCCAACAGAAGTCGAAAAAAGATACGAGTCAAAGAAACATTTGCAGTTTAACACTCGTCCTGTTTCGTAACAATTTAGTCATTTTATGCTGCACATGGTTCACAAACAGGTCCTTCAATGTAACAAATGAATGATTCGAATCTCAAGAAAGAGTGGGAGTTCAATTAAGGTCATGTTGAATTTTTTTGAACACATTAGTATTGATGTGCATTTGCCGCGATTCGTTTTTCCCATTTTTTAAGTAGAATTGAAGAAGCACATTTTTTGTTAATGAAATATGTATATCAAAAATAGATTTTGAAGTAATGTCACACTCAACGTTTTGAAAATATGGGAATATTTTTTGTGAATTGGTGACAAAATCAATACCCGCTGCGATCTTACTGCTCTTAGTGAACGATTCCACATGGATACTTCGTAAGTCAGAATTTGTCTATTATTTAATATTGCTTTGTGTTCTTACATTCGATCTTTTGTTATACATTTTCACATTAATCTTTTAGAAATTATTTAAAACATATAGCTAGCTTTGAAGGACCATCAGAGTGGAATGCTATAATGACACGAAAACCATGACTCAGGAGTTCATTTTTGTATAATAATGTTATTGTCCGCACATGATTTACCTGTATGAATAGCACTTATAATTGTCAAATATGTGTTGAAAATATTTAGTTGACCAACGAAGGTTGTACAGTTTGTATTGAGCAGGGTTGGGCAGCATTTAAATACTTGTATTTGAAATACGTACTTTAAATACATTTTAATGTTCATCCACGCCAGTTGAATGTCTGTTTCCTCTGCAGATTTTATACATTCGCCAACTAGGAGTTAATTTGTTGATGATTTTTTTTTTAAAAAAATGAGCTGTTTTAAAAGGATATTCCATTGCTTTGCGTTAGACATATTTTTGCTATCAAGCCGTAATTAGCCGGAAGGCAGATATTTAGAGGATGGGGACGGAAACGCGCAGTTCGGCAACATCGTGCGCGTAGCGCGCTTCATTCAAAACGAGCGACAAGTTCTTAAACTTCCCTCGGTGAACTGGGAGCAATAGAAAGATCCTCACTTCTAGAAAATCATACATTTGATGTTAGCTGAAATTTCATGGATACAAGTGTAATAATAAATATAAATTTTGCTGGATATAAATTAGGAATAGGAAGGAAATAGGAAGGAAGAGAAAGAGCTATATTTTCAAATTATTAAACATTCACTCACTTTTATAATTTATTGTAAAAAATTATTACGTAACTCGTATAAAACGTATTATATAACTATTACTAAAGACGAGAAAGTGCGTGCTGTTTTCGCACCACTAATTTTACGTGATATGCCGTACGGTCCGCGAGTACTTCTTCCCTGAACACACAATGCCAAATTCTATTTCTTGTCTCTTGGCCGCGCACCTGGCCCTCGGCAGTGGCGGCGGCGGCGGGTAGTTTATCAGCGGGCCAATTTGCATTTCGGTGGCGAATGTCCGCGCGGCCCACGTGCCGCCCGCGCAGCTATTAGCCCGAAACGACGCCCTTTAATATCGGCCGCGGCGTCGCATCCATCACTGACAGCGCGCCACGCTCGGCCGCGCACGGGGAGGACGCTGAGACAGGAGAAGAGCGAGGTTCGAAGCGGCCAAGGAAGGAACAGTGCGTCTACGCGGCCAAGGAAGGAATAAATACGGCGTCTAGTCACATTCGGTTGGTTGGTTAGTTGGTTGATTTGGTTTTTCCCATAAGTTGGTTGGTTGGTTGGTTGGTTGGTTATTCCCGTAAGTTTGGTAAAAAATAATACAACACAAATAAATCACACCTCCAATAAAAAAGTGTCACAAGTGCGAATTTCTGATTTCTCAGAAATTGCAATTTTTAGTTTCGTAGTCCTGTAATACTCGTTATAGATTGTACCAAATATTCGTCTTCTAGCGGAGCTAATTCAAAATTAACTTCAGAATAGTACCTCTTGGTAGCCTCTTATCAGCTTTTAGATGAAAAATAACGATGCCGTACTTGTGTCACTTTTCTATTGGAGGTGCCAAATGTCAATCGTATATTGATACATGAAACACAATTATTATTTTTTGCCTGTCACTAAGAGCAGATTGGTTTCTAATATATTCCGCCAGAAGCCAGTAACGGTGCAGCAGAACTGTTACTACCTAATAGTTCGCTAGTGTCAAGTAGTAGTGTTTAGATAAAAAAATACCATAACAACAAGTTAGAGCATGCTTTATCGCTGGAGGAAGCAGTAATCATTCCCCACTATATGAAGAGATCCGGCGCCGACATACCGTCGGTTGAGGAGTTTCCTCAACAGGTATCTCCCTCCAGCGGTGCACCGCCCCAGCCCGGACAAGCTCTAAGCTCCCGACCAGTCTCCTGACAAGTGTGGTAGTGTATTGCATATAAGTGTGTGTATGTGTGTAAGTAAGAGTAGGACAAGATAAGGAATGGGAGGGAATGATCGCGGGCGGTCTATGGCCCGATTGTTGGGAAACTGCTTCGGCATTCGCGTCAAGTTCGTTTTTTATAGTTTGACGGATTAAAATTGTTGAAAATATTTTGAGGGCGAACGGGATGAATAATTTCTGGTGAAAATGTACTGGCAAAATACCCAGCGTTGACCCGGATTTCTTTATATTGCATCACAGTTCTTGCGAAAGAGGAAAAAGATCAGTTGTAACCACGGGTTATCATTTTTAATGTTACTTGTTCAAATTGTAATAAAATCCGGTAATTTTCATTCATTTTATTTCACACTACGTTGCTGTTATGGTATTTTTTATCATAAGAACTACTACTGGACACTAGTTAACTATTAGATAGTAACAGTTCTGCTGCACCGTAACTGGCTTCAGGTGGAATGTAGTAGGAACCAATCTGCGTTTAGGGACAGGCGAAAATCAATGATTGTGGTGCGTGTATCATCATACGATTGACTAGTCTTTGTGTTGCATTATTCTTTATCAAACTTTGCAAGGACATTGCGACAATCCTTAAGAAGACCCTGTAACAATTTCGTATCAATTTATCCACTAATTTTTGTAGTATCGATGTCGGTTACGTGTCGTTGAATTCACTTTTATTAGTATAGATTTAACTGTTGAGATAAATTTCAGAACGTAAATCTGCCGTGTTCTACAGTCACAGTCGTTTATCGCCAACGACCTTCCTTTCATCGCATTTTTTTACTGGATTAATTTTACAGAGGATGTAAAACACGCTTCTTAAATCTTAATATTTTGACAGTACTTTATCTCTACGCCTGAGGTATTTTTTAACAACTACTCGCGTAAACGCTCCGGGCAGCTGTCCAGAAAACTATTTAATGACTGGCACTACTCAACCGTACATGCCAAGATAGTTTTGGAATTCTGACTTTTGTTATTCTCGAACGAACAGGAAACTATTTAATATGAGGTGAAGTAACACAACAATTTTAAAATAATAATTTTCTTTATAATAAAACAAATACACAAAGCGACTTAAACTAAATAAATACAAGTAAATAAATAAAAAACTGAATAAAATGTAAATGAACAGTAAATAAAAGATAAATAAAAATAAATAAAGTTAAAAAGAAAATAAAACAAAAATAAATAAAATAAAAATATTAAGAATAGAATAGAATAAATTGAAAGTTACCCAGGGTGATAAATATTATTTTTTCTGTTTGAGAAAAAGCACCTTACGAACGATGAAGGTATGTGTCCTCTCGTAGGTAAATAACTTTTTTTTCCATCTTGTCCAAGAAAGTGATCCGTAGTGACAACTGTGTGAGAGAACGCAGGCCTCTCCAAAACGCTATCTATTATAACTGGATTTGTTCTCGGAGAAGCGTGACATCTGTGAGACATACGTTATTCACGGTTTAGTAAGTTGTTGGTGTTTTGTAGAGAGTAGACGTGTCTCTCAAGGGTCATTTATAATTGAGAATTTTGATACGGCGGAAATCTTCCACGAGATTCAGATGGATTTCTCTCCGAAGAAACATATGCGAAACTACAGAAAAGAATGTATATACCCAGACTCTCTTGAAGAGTTAACTGATAAATTTGCCTTTGCTTGGAGGTGACAAGTCACCGATAGACTGGTTTTCATGATTAAATTGATAATGTCTCAAGGAATTGTTTTCCATTGTTATATTTCGTTTACTACATTCTATTTTAAAAGCACGTTGAAAAAATGTTTACTTCGTTCAATTTTAAGAAGTTTCCGTCATAAACAGAATATTTATCAACTATGTAGCAAGAAACACTAGTCTTATTTTTCAATGCTTCGTTTTGTATTTTAAATTATAACTTTGTAAATAAGTTAGCAGAATTAAATATTTACATACCAAATAGTTAAATAAGATTTCCAAACAGTAATTTAAGGAAATGTTTATCGCATAACACTTTGACTCATAAAATAATATTATATTACATAAAATCACAATAAGATATATACTATTTTTTCTCAAAATAATATTACTTTATCTTATTTTAAAACATATTGCATGGTAATATTTATTGAATGAAGAAAAGTCAAGCAAATAGTGAACCCTAAAAACTTCAGGCATTCCAAAGATTCTAAAGAAACTCTGATGGTGTTTTTTGAAACAGCAATTGTTAATCTACCAAATGACTGTTTAGGCTGCGTGGGTTTTGGCGGTGCCGATGCTCCTGGCTCCAGCTGTTTGGGGCACGACAGAGACGAAGTTGTCGCCTCTACCGACCCAGCAGTCACCAGGCAGAGATTCTGACGATCTCAGTACATCAGGTACGATCCCTCCATTTTGCAAATTAATTGAGTATGTTTGCAGCATGAGAGAAAGATTTTAACCCATGAATTGAAAAGGTCTTTTGCATGTCGCGTAATTAACCCTTGCATCTCAAACGCTTGTGTTGGGAGCTACACTGTTCCCGTTAGAGATGCTAACAATTATTGCAATTGAAAGCTTGAAAATGGTTGCAGATAACTGTGAAGCATGTCATAACATTAATACTCTATGTGCGTATTCACTTTGATAACGACCAATTTCTTAGTTTACATTGCTCCTGAGAGAGCAAAATATTTGTGAAAAGCTAAACATGTTTGTTGAAATACTGGCTGGATATGTATGGCGTACATTGCGCTATTCGAAGCACAAACGCTATTATAAATGACCAGTTTTCAGGACATGATTTATGAATTAAAATGAACTGTCGGATTTCTGAATTCTATCTTGATAGTTCCTTTAGATTAGTATATCACAACCAGAATTTCCTAGGTATGAAAACTCTTAAGTCTTCATTTTTAATACTGCTTCTGAGAGCATGCACTTTAAAGAAAAAAATCACTAAACTTGTTTATTTATTAATACTGTAAGCTCAAATGCTATTTAAACTTCTTTCTTAAGACCATCCACTACTCTACCGCACGTCCACTTTCAACACATGAAGATCAAACACTCCTATTGGAATGTTCACTGTTTTTTATCTTGCACTTGTGTCTCAAAGAGAGAGGGAGAGGGAGAGGGAGAGTGAGAAAAAGAGTTTAAATCCCTTTGATACATATAACGACATCAGTATTCCAACGAACTCTCATAGTATGAACTACACTCTTTTTCTTAGAGAGCACCAGATGAACATTGCATATGAGCTCTCAAAAATAACAATCCATAAAAAGTGCTTTTGACAGAGTAAACCTTTGAGTTAGAGAATTTTGTCGTTACGAGAACTTTATTAGGTATTCAGCAAAATGTTTCGTTGTGTTCTAGTTTGCACCATGAATTATTCTGAACATTAACTTTTTTTCCGGGCACAGCAGCCTTTACCTCTAGACCACCAAATCAAGTAAATGTCACTTCTGAGAGAAATACAAATTCGAGTAATATTACTGAAAACTCACATGAACTTCCTCTTCCAGCACAAGAGTTTTTTATTTGGAATTGCACTTCTTCAGTACAAGTAATTCCCAAATATTCCAAAGTCATGTACTTGCCTATAGGCTCCGTGACGTATCTGTATCTCTAGCCCCTGCTGGGAAACCATAGCGTTGTGCATCTGCTTGTCGCGTTGGCACTCCTGACAGCTTACGCACCTTCAAGCGACCAGTGGTGACGCTCATCAGCTCACCTTCCGTCTGTGGATATTGGAATTCTGATACCGATCAATCCATCTGGAGTGTGTCGTATAAAAGCGTGTTCGCTGTTTGTCTTCTCAGGATTTCTAGCATCTTTCCTATCGCTCAGTTCACCAGTGTTCCAGCTTCATTAAAATCGAATCATTATCAAACAACCATCAAAACCTTTCATATCAGGTTTTGCCATACATGCTATTGCCTGAAGATCTTAACCCTCCATCGGTTTCGCTGTATCTGTCAGCTGCATGCACTTCGAATTGTTGCTTTTCTCGAAAGGGATACGAAGTCCGGAAGGCAGTTTCACAAAAGATTCTTCCATAACCGTTATTTTTAATTGTGTCAATGAGATCTTCAAATTTGAAAGATATCAGACGACCATCCGTGTCACTTTAAGTCTAGATTGGAAGATTGGTGAATTTACACTCGGGAAATTAGCAACTTGCTGAACTCATTCGTTTCATATCGTTGAGTAACTATGCACTTACAAAAAACAAAACTGTCCCAGTCAGTATTCGTGCATAAAACATGAGAAAAAAGGTTATTTAGAGCATATCGATGTGATAAGTACAAGGTGTACAATGATTGCTGATACATATATTTTAACATATGTAAAAGTAATAACCACAGTTTTTTTTCTGAAATGTTCTAATGGATAGATGAAACCAAGATAATTTTATTACACGTGTTCCTTTGACCTCTCAAATAAACGTTTATCTGAGATATACCACGCGATTGACCAATGCGGTTTGCGGAGTGTTTACACATATTATTTCAAGCAGTGCGCAAATAGCTGCTTTGGGGTTCTCTTCCAAAACCACAATTTTATGTGTCATTACTGCAAAGACTTTCAAACTGTCTCAAACACCATTCTGTAAATAACTCTTTGTGCTTTACTAACACTCACAGCACAAACTGTTCTCTTGGAAACTACAATCTTTTTACTTACAACACCTAAAGGTGGTGTTACTTTGTGAGAGAAAAGTGTGTAAATAACTATTTCCTCAATAACATATTTCTGTAACAACGCATTTAAAACATTAAGAAGGCCATATGCTTGAAAGGAAAAGATTTCTACATCGCTAACACGCATGTCGCTTTACTAAATGGTTTCCCGCACAAATGCTCCAATTGAGATAGCACTACTTTCGTCAAGAGCACCTAATGACAACGTTTCTGGCCTTGCGATCAGGCTCCGTCATGTACCCGTACCACTACCCGATGGCACCGTACGGGGGCGTGCATCCACTGACTGCGTTGGCACTCCTGGCGGCTCATTCTCCCCCCGCCGCGCCGGCGCACCCGCTGCTGTTGGCAAGCCTGATGGGCGGCGCGCCGGTGCTTCCCCCAGCCGCCGGCACCGCCTCAGCCGCCGCCGCGGCAGCCGCCGCCAGCGCCCCGGTGACGTACGTTGGCGCCGGCCAGGGCCACAACCCGCTTCTGGCCTACCTCCTGGCGCAGTACATGCGCCACCAGCCGTACGGGGCGGTCAACTACAGCCTCCCGGGGTACAGCGCGTCCAACAACGTGCACAACAGCAAGGCGTTCGGCGCCTACAAGTACGAGGACAGGCACTGAGAGCGACCCAGATCATCCGACTGAAAGCGTGCTACGCTAGAAACTATAAACTTTCACTGTGAACTTTTCCAACCACGATGAAGCAGTGCTTGCAACTTGGCTTGTGCTGGTTGCACATATGTCGCCGAAGCGTTGTTCTCATAATGGAATAACCTATGGCATCCGCGATAGGAAAATATGCAAGTCAAGCTTGGTCGTTAGTGGGACCCACGTGTGGATCTGAAGAATTTTGTTATTATTTGAGATGATTACATTCCGTGCCTATATATTTATTTTGTTTTTTGTTAGCTCATAAATGTAAGTGTGAGACATAGGTATTTTTTGAACCACTAAGTAAATTAATGCTGTCTTGGTCAAGTGGATATTTGTTCGTTATCAGCAAAATATAATTGGAGCATCTGCCATAGTCTATCAAATTATTTATCATCGGAATACTTTATTCAACCATAAAATATCATGCAATGAATTCTGCGAATAGCTGTTGCAGTTATCGTTCGATGTCTTACGATGTTTCTAAAATGTATAGTTTGTATTGTTGCAAGAAATGTTGAGATATTTGTATTGTACTAAATTATGTTTCACTAACTTAAAATTAATTTTCAAAGTCACTCGTATTTTCATGTAAAATCACACCTTCATCAACAATAGAAATGTCCGTATTTGTAAAATGTATTTTGTGCATTTAACTGCGAAGAAGGTCGCCATTTAAATCAAATGTAGAAAATAGTTTCAATCATGTTCTCTTTCATTCAATGAATTCGAAAAGTTTTTTAAGACCTCGACCGCCAGTAGTGGTAACAATTAAAGGTAACATTTTCGTTGTTTAATTCTTGGTCTCCAATATTAAATTTCTTATGGAAGACTCAATCGTCGATTAGTATACCCTTAATCTGTGGCATTGGAATAGAATTTTTAGTTGTGGACACTTGAAAATTGAAAAATTTGGTAAGTGTCGAATACTTGACTTTAGTAATGGGCACTCGATATTTTACGTCTGGACGTGTTGTGAGATACTCAAAAAAATATACAATTATGAGTGCCGTACCAAACGTTATATTATTTGCAGTATCAACATTAATAAGATGTTAACAATTTATTATTTAGACATAATAAACGGGGAAATAAATTATCTTCGTTCTACTCCACACCTCTAAAAGTCATAGGCTCTACGTTCTGGCAGTTTGAAGTAAGGGGGAAGCTGCAATAATGTTTAAAACCTTGTCCTTGAAGAGGCCACGAGACATTAACGGAGACTTTATTACATTACTAATATTTTTCCGTCTGCAATGCACATAAAACTCTTTTCCTCAAGAGATGTTAAATGAGAACGGACATTTTGTTTTCATGTACGTGCACGAGGCAAGAAAAAAACGCAAGTTGTTGTCACGGGTGTTTTCTCATTGTTAGTGAGTCGTGTTAAGCGTCAAGCACGTAAAATTCCAGAGTTTGAGAAATTACACTGGCATGTTTTACTATTTAAACATTAGTCCTGTTTCCATAGAAAATGAATGTGTATCATAAAAAAAGAAATGGTTTTTGTTTTGTTGAATAATTATGTGTGATTTAATATATTGTCTCATGATTTACTCTTTACAAAAGCGATGAAAGAAATAATATAAATTGAAGAAGACACAGGGCGAAGCTTTAAACTAAATCAATTTCAAAAATATTTTAGAAACAGAAAATAACTTTTACTTGTGATTTCTTAATTTGAATTTTAGGGAGTAATAAAATTGTAAATACTATTTTAAATGAAAAATTATTTTTCTTCAAGTGGATACTTAGTATGAATTGTTGTTGGAATTTCACCAAAGTTTTAAATACAACCACTTAAGTTTATCACATTCATTTACTTGAAACAGATGCCGTACTTAAAAACAATCTCCTTGTTAGATATATTTTTATAAAAAGGTGTTGACTTTGGACGGAGTAGAATATAATAAGATCACATAATATTATTTTAAATGTATTTTGTTTTAAATAAAAAAATATTATTGAATACAAGTATCTTCAATATACATAATATTCTAACTGAATTTCCCTCATTCTTCAACTTTTCAATTAATTTTAAATTTCTTTATGCGATGCATTCTTTATGCGATGCATTTCTGACAACACTAGCTACGAATAAGGTATTGTATTACATTGTCCAGAAAATATCATTTCGTATATTACGCCGTAAGAAATGTAATTCGTGGGAAAGAAAAACCTAGTTTAGGTTTTATGGCCCTAGGAGGCAGCTTTTCCGAGTTCCGCATGTTGGCAGTACAACAAGTATTGTGGCGTGAAGTATGCCTGCTGTTTCAATTATATCATATTTAGCTTACTGTTTCACCCCCGGAGGGTGTTTGTATTTTTCCAAAAAATTGGCGCAACAATTTCATATTAAAAATGTATTTCAACGGTATTACAATTGCGGGGTTCTTCCTTCTAAAGGCATAAAAAGTTGGGTGAAAAAGTGTCGATTCAAGTACTACTGGTGTAATTTTTTGTTTCAATTATTGATTTGATAATTAATGTCAATCAGAGGAATTAAGAAGAAACGGTTCATGCATATACCGAAAAGGTTAGGGGAGACTGGGGCAAGTTGTTACAATTTTAGACTTTTAGTTTTTAAAGATCCTGTGTTTACAGTTTCTTTTTCCATCATTAATGCATCCCATAATATTTTTTGAGATAACCTGCCCGACTCCGCATTGGTTGTCGCGAGGTTAGGTTAGATGGAAAATAGACATTAGTTGGTATGCAGAAGTATTTGTATTAGCATTAAAATCGATTTATGATATTCATAAACAATAATATTTATGAAAGACCTAGTTACACACAATAATTCTCATGTAAGGGAATATTTAAGAAAATGGCTGTTATGAGCGTAGTCACTTTGGAGCGCACTCTCATAATTTTGATGTGAATAAACGTTATTTGATTCAGAGGTATACAATTCTTGAGCCCATTTCTTATATACATAGGTTCCATTTTCTTTAGTTTACTGGTAGAAAACGGGCAAAGACAAACTAAAGAAAAATAATCATTTTCTTCGCAACAATTGAGATTGATGGCGTTGCTGCTTGAAATACTTTTTATATCAATGAATACTTTTTTATTATCATTCAAATATATTTCTTCTATTTACAAAAATCATTTAATTTAACACACTGTATTCTTTTCAAAATGTAAAGCTTCCTTCGTAGACTAATAATTCTCTCTTAATTGTTTATTACTCCTGACAAAATACGTTCCATGATTTTGAGACATGTGGCCATTACAATGCTCCCTTCTACAAAACTATAAACAACAGGTGTTTTTTAGAATTCTTCCAGAATATTCAAGAGTAAAGCTGGCGAAGAATTGAAGCAATCAATTTGTCTTGTTGTAGAAAAATCGAAATAGCCTCATTTCTGTTGGTGGCGCGTCACTCGAAAATGTAGTTCCATAAAAAACATACAACAGGTGTTTTAGAGAAGTTTCATCTTATATTCTGGAATGAACCCAGCCCAATTAAAAACAACCAAATCTATAGGAAAAAGTTCGACAAGAGAAATTTAGGATATGGATAGGACGAAACCATGCTCGAGAGCCAGCTCCTAATGGTTCGATGCATGTTATTCGATTAAGTCTTACACCAAAAAGATTCAGGAAACTTCTGATTTTTTTAATAAATCTATTTTACGCCGTTTTCGGAGTTTTTGCCGTTTCCAGCAGTAGTACCTTACGTAGTTTTGAATCGATGGATTCTTAAGAATGGTGCATTCGTAGGTTTTCGTGGCCGGAGTCATTTGTTACCTGGCCGTCCGGGATGAGCCGCTCCACAGTCGGTCGAGCTGATGTTTCGGTCTATCATGTGTCCTTCTGAACTCTACTGCTGACTACAGAGGTATATAGCTTCCGAGCTATAGAACTATCGCTCAGAGGAGCACAACATCACGGCAGAAACGTCAGATCGACCGACTTTAACGCTGCGCATCCCAGACAGCCAAGGACCTTATGAATGGTGTAAAACCGCCATATTTCCTTAGCAAATTATACGCAGCGAGTGAATGCTGTGCGTGTCGCATCGCCTGCACCTGCCGGCGGCGCAGGCGGAGTGAGTGATGCGGGCGGGTGGAGTGAGGATGGCAGCGGGCGCGCCTGGCGCCGTCGGTCAGGGCTGTGTACACAGCGTGGGACGGGGCGGGCGGGCGGGCGCCGGGCCGGGCGGGGCGGGCCGGCAGGGGCGCGGGCGGGCGGGGCGGGGCGGGGCGGGAGAGACGACGAGAGCCGCGGACGCCGCTCGCCGTTCTCGCGCCCATAAAACGCCTCTGCCGCAGCCGCACGCGCCGCCGCGCAACGCCGCCCATCCCTGTTCATTGCCGCCGTAACGAATCGGTACCACGGCGCCCGCGCCACGATGACTGGTGGCGACGTAGACGACGAGTACAGTCGAGAACTAAGAGTATAGACGGGGGAGAAACAGGACAGAGAGAAGAGACGAAGTCAACGACGAATAGGGTCGTGGGGAAGGAACCGGCGAAGGACGACTGACTGCGAAGAGCGCGGGACAGCGAGGGCGGGGACAAGCGAAGGCGGGGACGGCGAAGGCGACGGCGAGCGACGGCGAAGGCGGGACGGCGAAGGCGGTGGACCGGCGAAGGTCCTGGAGCGTGGCGGAAGGGCGGGGACGAGCGTCGACACGGTCGCGGAGATGGTACACGGAGAGGCGGGACGCTGGATTAGCGGGGGACTGGCGAAGGCGGGACGGCGAAGGCGGGGCTACGAGGAGGCGGGGCATAGCGGTGTCGAAGGGCGGGGACGGGACGAACGCAGAAGGCGCCGGGACGGCGAAGGCGGGACGGCGATAGCGGGAACGGCGAGTGCGGGGACGCGAATGGCTGGGGACGGCGAAGGCGGGGACTGGCTGGTGAATGTGCGTGGGTACGGCGAAGCGCGTTGCAAGGCGGGGACCAAGCGATGCGTAGAGGCGGTGGGCACGCGAAGGGCGGGGACGGCGAAGGCGGGGACGG